TCCTTCTTCCCATCATCAGTGTGTACTGACAGTACATCTGTCAGCGGTTCCTGTGACACCTCTTCACAAAGGAATTCCAACCTATCACATTAGGAATGAATGTATGACTGATGGAGGACCCACATATTTAGTGGATCTTCTTCCACTCTGCCTTATGTTATAACAATTTTTTAAGAAAATTGTAAGTGTCTGTTATGAGTTCATCAACAACTATAGATTACATGAAAGAACAACTGTTTATTCTCTGTAAACTTATACTTAAGGCATGTTTTAGCTAAAGACTGCCCCTTGCACACAGACCTGTACACCATCACTACACTGCCTGTCAAACTGTATGTTAAAGGGGTAGAACATCCTATGGCATATACACATATAATGCTGACTTGAAAACATCCTTCTGCAAAAACAGACAAAGCAAATACATTTCCCCCAGGCTCTTCTGTGCTAGGAAACAAGCTCTGCTGTGTACTGGGCACATCTGCCAATTCATCTACAGAAGTATCAGTTAAAAAGTGATGGTAGCATTGCTTCCTGGCTTTTGGTTAAGATCAAGTGTAAAAGAGGATAACAGAAACACCTAGGAAGGACTCTAGATAAAATTAAATTGAACTTGAAAATTAACAGATATTTGTTATTAATAAGTTATTAAGATTAGGCATAGTAGTGTATGCCTGCAATTCCAGGACTCAGAAGACTGAGACCAGAGGACCACTGCAAGTTCTAGGGCAGCCTGGGCTTCATAAAAAGATCCTGTCTCACAACAAACAAACAAACAAACAAACAAGACACCCCCAAATAGAAATAAATTATTGATATTTCAAGTACTGATACTGACACTTCAATTTAAAAAATTTTAATAGCCCTGGCCTCTAAAAAATGCACAGATAATTATGTGGTCAACTTCAAAGAATATTGAACAAGGGAGAGGGAAGTAACAGGTGAAAGATTAGCTAACAACTGATTAAACTAAGCTAGGTATATGAGAAATTGTGTATACATACATATATGGGGTTGTCAGCGTGTGTGTGTGTGTGTGTGTGTGTGTGTGTGCACACGCGCGCGCCCATGACTATGCTTTGTGACTGGGGCATGTGTAAGGCCTGGGATTCAGTCCCTAGCAGTGTGTGTGCACATGTGCATGCATGTGATTTTCTTTTTTTTATTAATTAATTAATTTATTTATTTATTTATTCAATATATATGAGTACACTGCATCAGATCCCATTATAGATGGTTGTGAGCCACCATGTGGTTGCTGGGATTTGAACTCAGGACCTCTGGAAGAGCAGTCAGTGCTCTTAACCTCTGAGCCATCTCTCCAGCCCGCATGTGGTTTTCTAAAATGAAATAATAAAACTGCTTCTTCAAAAATCACATCACTCTTTTAATTAAATGTTGTATGTTAAAATTATTTACATTCAGCACTAATTAGACTTGGGGTTATTAATAACATAAAGAAAAAATAAAAAGACATAAAGTTGAAAGGGAGATGGTTAAGGGTACTAGGAGAAATTGGAGGAAGATAATGTTGATTAAATGCTCAATTTACATTATATAAATGTAAGAAACTTTTAAAGAGTAAAAACTAATGTTTAAAAATTATTTAAATAATTCATATTAACATTTATTAGTAACAAAACAAAGGTAAATTTAAGCCTATTCAGAAGACTAAAGGAAAAATTAAATTCTACAATAGCCTATTTAAATTTGCATAATGAGTTTAGGAAATTACATGGTACTGCCATGAAGCCTGCAGAGTGGTTCAAAGAGCTGTAAAGTACTGTGTTTCACTTTCAATTAAGAAAAACAACCTACAAAATAAACTAGGCAAAACTTGTAACATTCTCTCAGTTAATGAGGAAGTTCTATACAAAGTTTCAGGAAAAAAAACCCAAGAGGAATCTGATTACAGGTAATGCTTTTTCACTTTCTCTTTTGAAATGCTCATTTTAAGTATATTAATACATACACAAGAATATAGCATGGAGTTGAAAAGAGAGGCTGGGCATGCAATTAGGTAATAGAACACTTGTCTAGCACACACAAGCGCCACGCTCCCAACCCTAGTATGGAGGAAAAACAAGATTCAAATCTTTCAGTGATGGAATATTGGTCATCAGTTCTCTCAGGTAAAGGTGGCATGAAATTTTCTGGGATGTCTTCAAATGAGTATGCTGAAATATCTCAGAAATCTGTATACTTTCATACTAAATTGTCTCTTTAGATAAGCAGAGGTAAGAAAGTCCATTGTCAGAATGTATCCTGTGTGTAGCAAGCAAACAATGACAGTGTTGAGCACCATTACCATGGCTCCAGAAACTCTCCTTGTCTTCCTGCTACCAGGCTAGGTACTCCTGCAATATGGCTTCATAAGAGTGTACACTCTGCACTTCCCCACCTTTTCACAATTACAATCAAACATGCACTTATGACATTTGAAAAAAATTATATGTTCCATACACCCAAAGCTCCAGGAGGTCTGCTCAGCACTGTCTTGTGACTCTAGCATAACAACCAGAACACTGATGACGCAGCCTGTACACATGTGACCTGTTCTCTGTGTCTGAGAACCTAGTAGGCAGAGCCAGTCTTTAACCTGTGGGCTGTATGAGCCACATGATAGCCTTAAATACAGCCTAGCTCATTACAATAAATTTACAGGAAACTAGACTCTGGGTTTTCTTTTTCTTTTTTCCTTTCTTGTTTTGTCTGTCTGTTGGGTGGGCTGGCTTGTTTGTTCTGTAAACTCTCAAGCTTGAAAGCTTGAATTTCATAGACCACAATTTTCTGTCACAATGTCAAAAGGCTGGACATGCCTATGAGAGGCTAGTAAATGACAGATGTTAAAACTGCCCCAAGATTCTGATGATCAGTCAACAGAACAGAGCAGACTCAAAATTGACTGGCTGACACGTGTATGTAAAAAGATTCTTAAGATTTCCAAAGATGTTCCATATCATACACTGTCATCTTCCCTTGCAATAAATACAAAACAATTATTGATAATTGAGATTGTGGCATCAGTTCATGATACATGGGGTTTCCAAAGTATCAAACTCAGAAACAGAATTGGAACTGAAAACTTATATACACTAAAGACAACTCACTACTGACAGATAACAAATGAAGGCTCTCTTTGAAGCTACCGCTTTGTGGTTCCACAAAGCTGACCTCGGGTTGTTTGTTCTTCCACAGTCCTGGGACCTGACTACTGTCTCTATTCCCTTCCCAGGTGTCTAAGGCACTGAAGCTACTCTCACCTAGGATACCAGCAGCACCCTTGCTGCTCAACCCATGATGCCTTTGTTCTTCTCTTCCTGGTTTTTGAAAGCATGCTGTTATGTGGCCATGCTGTCCCTGTGGCCACCTCTTCACTGTTGCCATTCCAGGTTTCTTTTCTCCCAGTCACTTAAAAAGGCCCCTCCAGATTCTGTTCTTGGTTTTCTTTTTTTTGTTTTTTCCATCTTCATGAATAAATGCATGAATGTCAAGAGACAATCTGGGTATAAACAACCTCCAAGTCTCTGAATCTTTAACTCGAACTACCTCTTGGATAGATCTGTCTACTTTCACGACAGACAATTCCAAGCTCACCTGTCAAATGTGAGTTGGGGGCAAACTCTATGTTTTCTATTTCCCAACAGCACCACCATGTTAATGGACTCCTCCAGGGTATTCCTCCTGTTCCCACTTCCTGCCCAAGTCCTGTCCATTCTATTTCCTAAAGAGCCCTGAGTCCACCCCTATACTTCACATTGGCATCACTCTGCCAACCTCATCAACCCTGTTATAGAATCCCTCCTTATCCATCCTCCACATGGAATGTACAGATATGATATTTCCCTGTTTGTACAATTCCATATTTCCTCACCGCTCTCTGGACAACCTCCAAACTCCTCCAAACAGCTAACAAGGTCCATTACTTCATCATTCTTACTATAGCAGAACTCCTGTAGCTTTATTCACAGGCTTCACTCCAGCCACAGAGAACACAAGGCTGTCTCTGGCTCCCTGATGTTCTTTCTAGAATAGTTTTTTCTCAAGTCCAGATCTTTCTTCTTCCAGTACAGATCTCACAACATCCCTTCCCTGACCCTCAAAGCCTGGATCACAAATTGCTCCTGTGAGCTACTGTGCCACTCAGAACTTCTCTTGTCTTAGGAAGTGATGTGTTATACAGCATTCCAATGGTCAGTTACCTGTCACCGCCTTCACTATGCTGGAAGTACGTATAAGTCAGACCCTTGGGACTGCTCTACAACTGAAGCACTGTCACTAATATCTTTTTGCTGAATGACAGAATTAAACAAAGAAAAATCAATAAACATACACACAAACATAGCTTTAATTTCTTTTTCTAAACTTACCTCAGAGTCCTAGACAGAAGTTCCTTACTTGAGCTAGAGGTTGTCTGGTAGCTACTTCCAGTTCTTAGCTAATATGGAGCCTCTGTAAGCTATCTTCTCAAACTGACTATATGAAATACTCTTCTCAGTTATCTTTCTTGAAAATCTTTTTCATTTTTCTTTTTATTACTGGTCTCAACATTTTAATTGCCTAGCAATTATATATATGTTTAATATGTTTCCTTTCCTCCACTAGTAGCTCCAGGAGGCAGGGCCTGCTTCTCTATCATTCACCACTGTCTATCTAGCACTTGGTACTTCCTGATTCACAAGTGCCTCTGGATATGTCTGATGAAGAGTGAAACTTTCCAAGGACTAATACAATCTCTACAGAATCATGTTCACCCCTTGTAAAAATTAACTCTTCTATAAAATAAAGTTGTGTCAATAACACTGGTCAACAAGACCCACAGACCTCTGCAAAGGTGCTCTCTTTTACTTTTGGCACTGACTTTGGTCTATGCTGCACAGTACCAAACAGTGGGGCAGAGGGCTGACAACAGGAAGACAGGTACCAAGACCAAGAAAATCTGGTCTTCACTCCCTTAACTACTAAGCATTAACAAGCATGTAAGCTGGAAGAGAATCGCTTGCCTTTTAGGCTCTTCATGTGGCCTTCTTTGCAGTCTTGCATGAGCTTGAGGGTCCACTTGTGTTGAGCTCCGATACATTGCCAAGCAGGGTCACCAGGTGCATGGAGGTCAGAAAGATACCTGAGAAGGCAAAGCACAAGGCTCCTGTTATAACAGCAAAGGCAAAGGTTGTTAGGTTGGAACATTACTACCAATTTTTAAAGAAAAACTAAAATTTAACAAACTAGTAAAGTACTTGCCAATATTTGTCTTTAATACTTAGTTTATATTGAAATACACCACATTGTTTTCATTCAATAGTAAATGACGAAGCTGTTGGGTTTTTATTCTTTTTAAAATTTTATGTGTATGTATGTTTTGCCTTCATTATATAAATATACCATGTGAGTTCCTGGTGCTTGGGGAGGTCAGAAGATGATACTGGATTTCCTGTATTTCTGGAGTTACAGACAGTTCTGAGCTGCCATGTGGGTATTAGAATTGAACGTAGGCCCAGCTGTAGGGTTTTAACTTACCTCTTTGCCTAAGAGTCAACAAAAAAGACAAAACTGACTGACAAAGGCCAAAGGCTGTACAGGTTTGGGGAGAACACTTCCTTACATTTAAACTTACTTTTATTTTATTTAAAGAAAAACATGACAGAAAAAAAACCAAAGTGATAGAGTGAAAAGAAGGGGGACAAAGAAAGACAGAGAGAGAGAGAGAGAGAGAGAGAGAGAGAGAGAGAGAGAGAGAGAGGGAGGGAGAGAGGAGGAGGAGGAGGAGGAAGAAACCAGGTGAGCAATACTGATCAGAAGAATTCTATCTCCCATTTACCGATCATACTGAGTATACTGGACATCCATCTTATTCTCTACTCCTACAGATGCAGAAGTAGCAAACCACATTACAGTAAGCATTAGCGATAACCGCGCAATGAAAACCTGCTCAACCTAACCTTGCGGCAGGTTTTCTTTTTTGTTTGAGGAAGAGAAAGAAACTAACTTTACATTTACAGTCACTCTGTCAAGTTTTTTCTATTACTTGAGAGTCATTTCATTAAACCTAGGTGGGAGCCAGCAGAGGAAACTGGGTGAATTCCCCTGCCCCCAATCTCTTCTGGTATAAAATACGGCCACTGGATGGCAATGTGACACTATGCTACAATGACTTACATATAAGGCCACTAAAATTTAAGCATTGACAGCATGCGCTTATCTCTAGGAGGTAAATTAATTTTACAACTGAAAAACTATTTTTCTATAAAATGTAATACAGATAGATAGTTTCTTAACTTTCAATAGTTCTTAAAATATTTAAAGTTTTCTTTGTATAAGAAATATTCAAATCTATGTGAATAATTTAAATATATTTCAACCAAAATTTTTCTGTCAAACATTACCTGTTTGGCCCTGAGCCCTTATATAATACACACATATCAACTCTATAAGTATGTTCAAATTAACTTACTGCACTAAAATACTTTTTAACCCTCAGCTATCATTTGCCTTGAGGTTAAAAATTTGTGTTCTATGAAAATGTTCATTGATGGTTACAAGCTGTGACCTTAGCCGTGTCCTAATCACTGTGGGGCATTCCCACATTTCTTCAGTAGTGGGTACTCATTACTCAGACATCTCAATTAGCAGCTAATTAGAGGAGAAACAAATCCATTTTGTAGTAAGTTGACAACAAACAAAATGTTGAATAGAACCCTGACATGCACTTAGGAATGTGCCACGCAACCCTGACCTGAAGGAGCTAATAGCTCAGAGACCTGACTCCCCAGAGAGCAGCAACTCTGCCCGCTGCTCAGCGCTGTGATGGCAGTCTGCCCTCCCTGTGACTGTCCACAGGCCGCAAACAGCTATGTTTAGCGCTGAAAGGTAGGAAGTCAAAAGGATTTTACCCACAAAAAGAAGGTACCTATAAGCCTTTCTCATTTATGAGAGCACTGCCCTCAGAAGAAAACCACATTCCAACAAATTACATTTAGCTTAGTATGAGGAACTCAATGCAAATAAAGTTCCCCAAATCGACTCTGATTTTTTTCCTCTCCCAAGAGCTTTTCTCTTTTATTACTTGGGATATAAATACAGCACATAGTAGCTTGTGTCTTTCCTTCCCTAAGAGCATACTTTCTGTTCTTTCCTGCTGAGGATAATCTGTTGCAACATCTCCCTATATGGCTGCCTTGCATTTGCACACTTCAGAACTAACACTTTCCTTCTGCCCCAATTCGCCATCTACAGCAAAGCACAGCAGTATTCTCTTACAGAAGAGGCTTCCTTCTCATAGTGAAGTTCCTGGTTAGGGCTGCAGGCAGTGTATCACTTGGGCTCTTTTGCAGTAGCCCAGCAAACTTGCTTTGTATGTTCTAAAACTGTGAAACTCTTTAGCTCATACACTATGTCCCTAAAACTTTTAATAATCCTGCACCATCTTAATATGAAATTGAAGAGGCTTAGAAACATTTTATGATTTACTGTCTCAGAAAATCTAGAAAACGTTTCAGTTGGAAAATACAATGTTAGCTCTAGATTTCAGTAAGTTTCTTTTCTTTTTAGTACCAAGCTTAAAACTAGCAGTTTCACTAAAAGAATCTTTGTTTAGTGGTACTAGTTACTGCTTTTTTTTGTAAATTATATACTAGAGAACATTCTGAAAAAGGCTTTTTGGAAAGGTAGGGAGATGGAGTAAAGGATCTTAATTCTGAAAAGCACAGATTCAGACTTTCAGAATTTGAGGAGGAACATTTTCAGTGAAACTCTGGGCTCAATTCTCAGGAAAACAAAACAAAACAAAGGACATCTAAAAGCATTTTCAGCCACCATCTTTGGGATCCTCAGCAGCTCCAGGGGTAGGGACACACTGGTGAAGAGAGAGGGGTGGGGACGGAGGGAGGGAGGGAGAGAGGGAGGGAGAGAGGGAGGGAGGGAGGGAGGGAGAGAGAAAGAGAGAGAGAAAGAGAGAGAGAGAGAGAGAGAGAGAGAGAGAGAGAGACAGAGACAGAGACAGAGAGAGACAGAGAGAGACAGAGAGAGACAGAGAGAGAGAACTGAGCACTTCTTAGAAGAGGGTACCTTCAGTTATGCCCAGGAGAGCAGGCAGCACAGCAGTGGTGAACTATAAGTCCTACTGTGCATGGCAGAGTGAATCTGACACACACAGCTGTGCACAGGCTCTCTGGCTTGTTGGTGCCCACAGGACCTAATGCCATAGATGTTAAAGTCAAACAGACTTAACCTGGTTCTGAGCTTATTTTTTAATCCACTAATCAAATCTCAAATCTATGGCCACAAGTTTAATGTACTTCTGGAAGCAAATGTAGCTCACTCACACAGGAAGAAGCAAGCTAACCTTCTAACACACAAGCAGCAAAGCTTCAAGGCGCTTAGCTAACTCATACCAAGTTTATTTCCACTTTAAATTGTGCAGTTTTGCGAACCAGGGAAGTTCCTCAACTATAACATTTCCTCAGAAAGGTAGAGGAAGAAAGACAAGGATGCGCTCTGACACTAGATAAGAGTTGTGGCTGTGTATGCCGGACCCTTTGGCCAGAGAGGAAACACAGTTAGCACCCAATCAGTGTGGGCACACGGTCTGCATTTGCTAGAAGCAACAATCAGTTTCCCTGTTCTCTGGTCTCACTGCTAAATCCTGTCCTATATCTGCTCCCACTGCTCCTAGAAGATAATTTAGAGCAGGTCCTTGGCCCCTCCTTAAATGCACATAGAGCAGTGTTCAGGACAGGCCATCTTTCAAGGCCTACAGACAGTATTTTCAGTGTTCATAAGATGACCACAGGCAAATACATATGCATACATATATGAAGTCTATCATCATTTTAGAGCTACTGAAATTTTTAGTAAATCTCACTAATTAAAGAAGTCACAGAATTTGGGAAATAGCACTTTATTCTGAACTCATACCACACTTAAGATAGCATAGCAGAAAATTAAGTCAGTATTTTCAAATCTCAGTTACAATTTATGTTTCAACTCCAAATGCAGTGTAAGCTATGTACAGCTAAACCTCACTGCCTCTTCCTTATGTGCTAGGTACTAGGCTAACTTTTACCCTAAGAGGACCTGAGATACAGTCATGCTGCTTGTCATGTTCACTCTGCAGATGGAGACACTGAGGAGCTGGACTCCAGAGCTGCCCGGGATGAAAGGCTCATTCCTGTAGAGCTGTTCCTCCTCTCAGCTTCTCTGCTACTCTCTGAGGTCCCTGTCTTCTAATACTGCTGAGGACTTCTGAATGGATTGGCAACTGAAAACTATTTCCACAGTTACTCCTCTCGATGATCACTATGGGCATGTAAATCAGACATAGTTTCAAGGGAGAACCTTCCATATCCTTCACTACTGTCAAGCCATGGTACACTCCTGAGCTACAATTTCCCACTTTGTGGATTACGGCATTTGCAGGTGCAGCACCCAGTCCACTAGGGGAGTCAGGTGGGAACCATTACTGAGCAGGAGAAACAGATCTGAGCAATGAGACTACTTTTCCTTTGGCCAACCTGGCAGGTTGTCGTTCCTTCAAAGGGTGGGGGAGGGAGGGGCAGAGGGGTGGGTATCTCTATAACTGCTCCTAATTTATTTATATTCAAGGAATATTCATGTCCTATACCAAATACCCCTAAATTTCTATTGTCTTCCCTTTTACCATTTCATCAGTACTTTGATTCCCCCAAGTTATTCCTGTGGGTTTCACAGTATATCTATACATACATGCAATGTCACAGTATATCTATACA